CAAATAAAAAGTGAAAAAGTATTCATAGCTTATAATCTTTTTCTATGTAATTTTATAAAACCGAACATGAGCAATCAGTTTATTCGAAACAATGTTCAACATTGCAAGAAAGGCATCAGTGAATAAGTTTTTGCTGATTATCTGGAGACTACCTCAAAGAGGTAACATTATTTGTGAATGATTCCGCTGGTCATTTAATTTGAGATTTTAATGCTCTGACTCATAATGGAAAATACGTTTTTCGATATCGACATACTTTATATTTTGACACTTCAAACATTACACTCAAAACGTTATTTGTTCAGTAGGTTCTTAACCAAATCAATAACAACAAATATATATTTGCTTTCATGGTACACTGAAATCTTGAATTAATTTCCAGTTTATAGATACTCGACCGTAGAATCGCCGGGAATTTTCTGGTTTGTAGAAAATCAATCGAATCTCTATAAATAATTTCTCAGAATCTGAAAATTCGATTCTGATTTTCTATAAACTAGATAACCCGCAGCGATTTTCTGGAAAGTGGAAATCCGCCCAGGACCAAATATTTATTCATCTTTTTATTTTGCAACCAGTGTAAGTATAAGAGCGTTACGTTACGTAAAGACACTCATATTACGCTTAACTCAGTTTTGACAGTTTCTAGTTTAGATCATAATTTTACCTAGAACAGCAAGAATTTTGATTTAGGCAGAGACGGTGGTGGCGCGAAGTTTTGGTAAGAAGGTCCCTAAGTCGGAGTCGTCCACCAGAAATTTGTCAAAAGCATCAGGGGGCGGGCAACCCCAATACAACCTGGTTGCACCGCCACTCGGTGCAGCTTCGCCAAGGAATTTCCACTTTACAGAAAATCAAAAAGGAATTTCTAGATTCTTCGAAATTATTTATGGAAATTCAACGGCGATTTTCTAGATTGTTGGAAATTCGATTTTCTATAAACTGGAAAATCAAGGAATTCCCATAGGTACTCTTTGAAATTCGGCGAGCACTTTTCCATAAACAATTTCCAATCTTACAATTTAGTTAGCATTGTAAGGCTAACAGTGGAATCAACTGAATACAAGCGGTTAAGGCCCCCCCTCAGAAATGGTGATTTGGGCAGTGGCGACCGACCGACCGGAATACATTTCGACATGCTCCCTTACGTTCAATTAATATTCCTCCTCATCTAATTCACACCCATCTCCTTGTCAATTTGTTGTTATTCATCATCATTGTTATGTCCACCAACCCTAAATGTACCTACGGAGAAGAGAAAGTAATTAAAAAGTATCATTTTGTGGCAAAAAATAAGGGAAAAGAATAAGCAATACCTATCTAATTCAAAGATTGATTCGTATAGAAAATTAAAATCATAAAACAATACGCAAAATGGAATCATAAAAGTATTTTTATGATTTCATTTTATATAGAATAAACCGAAAATATCATACGAACAATTCTTCTTGCAGTTTTGAGAAAACATCATGATCGAACAGAAAATCAAAATCAGCATCGTCATTCTAAAAAATCTTTGGAATATATAGCTCACGTTCCGTGTCGACACCATATTTTTTTATCTTCCTTGTTCTGTGTCACATAACGGAGTCACTTTAGCCACTCACTCACATCTATTTTGTATAACCGTAATATGTCAATAGTGACAACTTCATGTTGCGACTAGACGTATTTATACGTCGCCGGGAGTCAAAAGGTGAAACAAGTACTTAGCCAAGGATTCATCAGGTCGGTAAAGTAAGTTACTCCCGTTAAACTCCAAAAAATACATGGACAAGTGCTTGCATGGAGATGTGTGGACAAAGTGTCTAAAGACGAATTGACGAATCGCAACTTTAAAGCGTAAAAATGATGCAACAATTCGCGTTTTACCCTTATTTTGCGAATTCGTACCGAATTGATGCGAACTGTATCGAATTCGTACGGATACTCTTAAAAACTTTTACGAATTCTTCTTGCGAATTCGTAAACAGAGAATAGATCAAACACGATGCTGATCAATTCGCAAATAATTCGTAAAATTAGTTTACGAATTCGTGTTCACTGCTTTTAGAACTAGATTGATTCGTAAATATGAATTAGCGAATTCGTATTACGAACTGATCCGGTTGAAAATAGATCCACGAATGGACAAACCCATTCTGCAAATTCATTGCAAATCGATGTGTACGCTTACTAGGCTACGTAGGGGCAGGACACTTTTCTCTGAGGTTAAAAATAGATAGATTCGTCTCTTCTCATCGACTCGCATACTTCTCATACCAATTCACCGTTATTCTTACGAATTCGTAAAATACGGCATGTTGTGTAAATACTCACAGCCATTCTCACTGCCCCCCACCTCCGCTCGGCACATGCACACAGAAGGAAGAGAGATTCCCCTCTGTTTTGTTTCGCACAGATACATGTATTAATATAGTCTATTGTCACATTTATTGATTAAATTCATTCAACTGATCAATTCGTATTTTACGAACTCGTAAAAATAACGGCGAAGTGAGGTGAGAAGTATGTGAATCGATGAGAAGCGACGAACCTATCTATTTTTAACCTCAGAGAAAAGTGTCCTGTCCCTGACATCAATTCGTATTTTACGAATTCTAATTATGAATTCGTCGGTTATGCTTTGGCATCTATAAATTCGTAAATAGAATTCGTAAATTCGCAGTTTATCGTATTTTTGCCAATTTACGAATTCGCACCCGAATTCCTGGGAACCAAAATGATCATTTCACGAATTCGTCGATGGTCGACCAATTCGATTTACGACTTCGTAGGCACCGGAAATTTCTTTCTTACGCATTCGTCCTAATCTACGAATTGGCAAAGGGAGCAAAAGACGCAATTTTTTGGTTCATTTTTGATCATTTTTGTTAGTTCGCATCACTTCGCACTGAATTACGAATTCGCTGCGAATTCGCAAAACAATGGTAAAATGCGAATTGTTGCGCCATTTTTACGCCCAAAAATTGCGATTCGTCAATTCGTCTTTAGACACAAATTTTGTTATGAATACAAATAACGTTCTTCTGCATTTACCGACGCTTGGATGAAAGTTATTTGTATTCATAACAAAATTTGAAATCATCCGAAAACTAAACCATATTTTTCATGTTTCAGCTATCAACTTTTTTAGTGCTTTAAGTTAGACAGACGATAGCACATGATTATAACTACCGAAATTCTATTTTAGGGTTGATTCATAAATGTCTTGAACACATTACGCGGGCAAAAATCAACTTGTTGTGCTGGAAAGAAAACTACTTGATACCTTTAGTTATTGCTTTTCTTGCGAATTGTTCTTATTCAAGTTTCCAGAAATCAGGAAAACACTTTTATTGCAAGGAACGCGGAAAATGTGATATAAATTTTTAAACATTTACTGGTGCATCCTCATTGTCGATGCCTGTCGTAGTGAATGCACTTGCATGCAGGCATTACTGTGGACAAAGTGTCTAAAGACGAATTGACGAATCGCAATTTTTGGGCGTAAAAATGGCGCAACAATTCGCATTTTACCATTGTTTTGCGAATTCGCAGCAATTTCACCGCATTTCTAGCTAGTAGTAAGAATATGACATGTTTTAATACTGCTTACTGTTGAAACCCATAAAAATAAAATTATTCACTGTCGGAAGTAGGAGTGCAGGGTGAGGGTGAGGGTGAGTATTCCTGAAAATGTTGCTGATTCTTTAAATATATTTAATAAAAGTTACGTTAATAATTGGAAAGGTATAGAATTTGGTATTAGTTGATTCTCCCAGTATGCACATTATTATTGTTCACAACATCATCAAAACAATGTGAAAATCTAAGAGTAATTGTGTTTGTTCTGAATTTTTATGAATAGTCGTTAAACATTAAATACTCCGACATGCATAATCATGTTATTATTCTAATATTAATCGCCAGTTTTATTCAAGTCATATCTGAATTCCCACTAATATTAAACTTTCTTCGCCTCGGTTACGTTTATCCTTCAATACCAACATTCTGTTTGTTCTGGAATTTTTATGATTACTCGTTAAATGATATCAATTTGTATCTGATGACGTGGGCACCATTTGAACGTTATCTACTCATTTTTTATCATCATATATTAAACTCTGTTGTCGTTTTATCTTCTTTCTACATTTTTGTTCTTATAAAGCGATCTGTTTCTGTTTATAATATTCAGTTAATAATGGTAACAGATATTAGCAAGTGATTTCTACCTTAGCATGATGGTAGAGTGACTGTTATATGTATTCTTTTTTTTCTTCCTTTATAGATCCTGTCCATTGTTATAATGATCCTACAGAGCGAGATTATGTTGGGAAACGAAATTACACAAAGAATAATTATCCATGTCTAAAATGGAGTGCTTCGTCTATACTTTCCTACTGATCAAACAAGAGATGAAGCACAGAATTACTGCAGGTGCAAATATCAACTAGCTTAAATACTTTTATTTGATTTAAACTTTATTCGAAACTACTAAGAAAAAAAGTGTAATCGACAAATGTGCTGTAGACAGGCCTTTACAGTGAAATGAAATGTATCCATTCAAAAAGCAAGAACAGTAAAAAGAAAAAAAAAACCTTTTAGTTATTATAAAAAATTTTTTAAAATCCTGATCATGACAGTACAGGTCCGTGGTGTTATGTTCACGGCCAATATCCGAGATGGGAACACTGTAATATTCCATTATGTGGTAAAAACAAATTCAGTAAAACGTTTAACAGAACTAGTCGGTCGGATATTCCTTATTTTTGTAGAAGCATTACTAATATCAAATGAACATATTTCAAGCCAAACTCTAAATTCACGAGTGCCCTTGCCCAATCGCCCATATATTTTCACCCCGTTCGTAAAAATGCTTCAGGAGAAAATGTTTTCTCTTTATGTATACAACTAACTCTGCTATAGTCACACCACTGTACTTCGATCGCACTAGAAACACGTTCATTGTTAAGAATATTTATTTTTATTAAGTGACATTGCTATTTTGTTGCAAAATATCACGACTGTAATGGTTGCGATTCTGCTGCTGGTTTAATTTCCACAGTAGTAACTAAATTACAAATTGAAAATAAAAATAGATTTAGTAATAGGGAAAATATTTTTAACCAATTATGCGAATATAAAAATGGAAAAAGCTCCTTAAAAGAATCATAGCATTAAATTCTTTGAAAGTATTCCAATTTGCAGTTCAAAAATTTCTAACAAAAACTAAAGAAGTGAAGACAATGGAATATAATTGGCATTTTATATGATGCTCAGGAGAAGGCTCAGTTATTAAACGAACATTTTACGTCGGTGTGTACTGTGTCAATGGCAGATTGTAATACCACCATTCCTACAAACAATCTTTCAGATGTGGCTAATACACTGCTGCCTTTTCACGTTTCTAATGAAGAAGTCGAAAAAAACATTATCATGTCTTGATGACAAAAAAGCAGCCACGCCAGGTGTCAACGATCATCTTCTGCATGAATTCATCAATTATCGCCGAAGATTTTGCATCGATCTGTCGTACCTCAATACTGACGTCTACCATTCTTGATTCTATGAAGTCAGGTTATGTCACTGCAGTGTTCAAGGATGGAGATAACAAGCTGCCCAATAACTGCCCTCCGATTACATTGTTGTCAGTCTTGTCGAAAGTTATTAATTGAGTAGTTTGGTCCATAAAGCAGCTAATTTTTCCAGTAGTATATGATGTCGAACTTGACCGAACGCCTTTTCGAAATGAAATTGCGCTAGAATAGAATTGAGCGTGTATTATTTATTTTTAAATACATGTCAACCGACTTGTCAACATCATATTTAGATTTTGCCATTTCAATTGTGACTCTATTAAAAAAGCAAAGCGAAACACTGCTTTTTACCTTTTAACATAATAAAAATTTATTATTCAGCGTATTAAAATAGAAATGTGATTGTTATCAAACAATAAATATTTATATAAAGATAAAGTAAGTGCACATGTATATAATAACTTAAAAGGGCATATATGATGTAGAATAGTACAATACATTGCTCTGGTGAGAAAAACAGTGTTCTCGGTGACAGCCTGAATAGCTTTCAACTCTTCGTTCAATTTCTGAATACATATGCATTTCTAGCTAGTAGTAAGAGTATGACATGTTTTAATACTGCTTACTGTTGAAACCCAAAAAATTAAAATTATTCACTGTCGGAAGTAGGAGTGCATCGGTTATTTTTTCGTATTTTTCAAAAATTCACAATAAATGGTTTGTATTTTCGTAAAAAGGAGTTGCAACATTTTTTTAAAATGGCAGTTTTGTAAAGAAAACATTTCTCTACAAGACGGTGTACAGAAGGTAGTTTAAAAGTTTTTTGTTTCCTTTTAGGAAGCGTTTTCCTCAAACCTACGCTCGGTTAAAACCGTCATGCCTCTCTATCAAAAACGCTGTTTAAGGAAACCAAAAGACTTTAAAATTAACTACTATATACCATCTTGTAGAGAAATGTTTTCTCTACAAAACTGACATTTTAAAAAAATGTTGCAACTTCTTTTTACGAAATACAAGCCATTTATTATGAATTTTTGAAACATACGAAAAAATAACCGATGCACCCCTAGTCGGAAGAGACATCGCTCCTAACAGTTCAGCTCATTTCTTATTTTTCGGTTTTTTCAGATATACCACTACTAATTCTACCCTTGCTGCTAAACCATGAAAATTTGGGTTCGAAATGTTGCAGGCGAAACTCATGCTGTTCAAATAAAATCAACAGATACTATAATAGATGTAAAATCAGCAATATCAATGCAAACGCCATGGGTGGGATGGGATAACAAATTACGTAAAGGTTTCCAATTATTAGATTCAGATAAAACAATTAAGACGTACAACATTCAAGAGGGTGATACTTTAATGATACAAATATAATAACACTTCAATTAATTTGCTTTTCAACATTTGTTATTAAAGCAAGATAAAATACTGTTTTCTTTCTCTACGAATATCAATCATTTATTTTACACTAATTTTTGAGCAATCTAACTGTAGCACTGCGGATACATCCATGCAGACTTTTAACCAAAACGTGAACGTTTTCGTGATGTAACTTTTTATATTGGATAATATAGATGTTTTTGTCCAAAGCAGATTAGTTCTATTATTATTTGCATCATAAAGGAAAATCCTGTTTTAAGAAAGTGATTGAAACACGGTAAGCGTGTATACATACTTAAATGCTAACTTGTATAGAAGTTAACGTTTCTTTTGCAAGTTGTAAGTATGATCACTTTAAAACCGATCTCAAAAATAAATCTCAATGACGCCCGCTGCAATGGTGGTACATAAAGTAGTTTTCTTCGTCTTCTCACTGGACTGTTTTTCTTTGCATCACAGATCATTCGAATTAATGATGTTTCAATTGTTTTATATTTAGACCAAACATCTTTAAATGGAACCTAGTGCATATAGGCGATTGCAGCTATGAATAATGAGCATGAAAGAAGTAGAGCAGTGTGGAAAAAATGTATTACCTAATAGAATTTCGAATTCTCCTCGTTCAACGATAGAAAACTGAGCATCAGCGCCAAAAACCAGTCTCATCATATCCCGTCCAGTTTTTCCGTATGTTGTACCTGGAGTTACTTGTTTCAAATCAACATGTCTCAGTGACAAAACTACATCTTTATCTTCTTCGACTGATCTGCTCGTCATAATCTTTGTTGCCTTAAAATAAAGTAAGAAACTACATGAGATATGATTAGACCAGGATATATATTTTAAAGTATGTTTGTACGGCAGTGTGACCGACATACAAACATATAGTGACTACTGAGTGTGACGGACGTACATACATACAATGATTGCGGAGTGTGTGACGGATATCAAACTTTCCTCTGTCAACTGGTATAAGATGATTGAAAACGGAGTTTGCCACCTGAGAAGGTTCCCTCGTTACTGGAATTAGTTTCCCCACTTTTCCGTACCTGCAGAATATGCGATTTAGGACTAATTTCATTGAATATTAAAAACAAGTAACGTTCATCATTCTAATTCACTTATCCCTTGACTGGAAACGAATCGCCAATATCAAATTTTACAGAATAAAATCGCATATTCTACAGGTACGGAAAAGTGAGGAAACTAATTCCACTAACGAGGGAATCTTCTCTGGCAAACTCCGTTTTCAATCACCTTTATGCCAGTTGACAGAGGAAAGTGTCCTAGCTGGAACCCTAGAAGGATTTGTCACCACGGTACTTCTTTCAAGAGTTATGAACTGTTTTTATTTCACTCGGAAAACAACAGAAACACTATGGTTTTTGTATCTCGATAAAAACAGCGAATTATTGTTTATATCCGTCTTGATATCATACGAATTATTCTTCATTTGAGAAACTAGACTTCAATCATTAATCCACCTTGTTTAGTATTGCTGCTGGAACTGCGACAACAGAATTCTGATAAATATTTAGTGAGCAAGTTGATTAAATATTGAAGAACAAGAGCGCGGACAGATGAGTTACCATCTTAAGGGTAGTTTGATGATTGTTTTATTGATTTGTCAATACAAGACGATTACCTAGTTTCATCATCTAATGTATGTATATGTGTATTGCATATTTGTCATCTCTTTCATTAATGTCAATGTTTCTGTTAATTGTTCATTCAGTTTTTGGTTTGAATTAATTAATTCAGTCGTTAGTTTATTGTAGGGAGCCATCACATGCTCTCTCGCTATAAGAACAAATCCACGTAAGGGTAAGTAAGAGATATTATTAACTTTAACTTACCTAATTTTAACATTTCCATTGTTGATTTTTGTGAAATACTCGATGACGTGATAACAATTTGACCGTGGCTTGCATTATTATTACTATTATTTGGAGTGAATCTATTTCTTCCACTGTATGAGATTTTATTTGTCGTAGTTCTCTGTTGTTGTGGTTGAGAATGTTGGAATAGGAGTGGCTGTTGAGGGTATCAGACGAGCTAGATAAAAATATAGCGTATAGAACCAAGTTAAATTTGAAATATGGTGCGTATCTGTTATTCTCCGAGCAAAATGATTACTGGTTCAACAAGAAGTCTATTAAAATTGTATAGAGAAAACATGCGGAAAAGAGAAGACAGACGTATGCACAAAACTATGAACAAGCGCGGTATTTTTCTGTTATTTACTTAGATTAATCTGTGTGTGAGAGTAAATATTTTCATTTTGAAGTCTCTGTTAATTGTAAAAATGATCACCCGCATCATTTAGATCATCAATCGTCATCGGTACGGTTGTTAACTCCGCATAAACATCCCCGTTATTTCCCAATAAGGGAATACGAAACAGACTTTGAGTCGGTGACTTTGAGTAAATGTATAGAATTCTAGGTGAGGAGCTATGTCTGCACTAACGTAGAATTCTATAGAATTCTACACAAAATAAATAAAATAAAATAAATTAGAATTTAAATTCTATAATAGAGGAATAATTGGGGATAGAGGAGGAGCGGAATAGCGGAATAGGAGAACAACGGAATAGAGGAATAGCGACCCACTGACCGGAATACATTTTGAAACGTTCCCTAAGTTTCTGATCTAGTTTTTTGTCAAACTGAGTAGTTTTGGAAAATCCGTAAGGCTTTTTCCGGTTTTGGAGGTTATTGGTTGCCTGGAAAACCAATAAAGGCTTAACTGAAAAATCGGCGGCGATCAGATGATGTAGATAGGTGTCTAGCTTAAAACAAAACAAACCCGAACTCTCCAGCTTGAAGTATATTAAAATATCTTGGGAAATACTTCAGGGTCCTTTTTGGACCCTGATCTCTAGAAACTTCTAAACGGTGAGACTTGGAGACAAAAAGTTTTTTCATTCCCGTAACTCATTAAGCCAAACATTTATGGAAAGTTTCGTCAAGATCGGATGTACGGTGCCAGAGATAATTTCTGAGCGAGAGGGGCCCTTAATTAGGAAAATACAGATATTATAACGCAGCAAATCGACTGTGCAGATCAACACTGTAAATTAAGTAGAGCGGGCAACAAGCATAAGCTAGAAATCAAACCAGTTAGCGTGAATGATGAAGGCATGTAGAATGTGCATTTGTCTAATTCGGTTAACGTAATTTCTTACTCTCGCATTAATATGTTTTTCATCAAATCTCATTAGTCTGAAAAGGGTCTTCCCGTGCCAGACAACACATGTTTATATGAGGTTGAATTAAACATTTATTACAATATTTTTATAAAAATACTTCGTTTAAACGTTTTATTGAAAGAAAGAGAAAAATAAACGCCAAGAGTCGCGGACTCACTGTAGCACTATAAACGAGCAATTTTGCCAACAATAAACAAGAGTACCGAAAGACAAAACAAGTAAAAGATCAATAGTAAAGAAAAAAAGGTGAAGAGTTGAAACCAAATAAAAAATAAAAATTGGACACACTGTAAAAAATAAAGTGTGCCCAAAACACACTGAACTTGCACATCACTTTGATTCGCGTTTGCACATCTAGAATGCACGATATGATGTGCCAGAAACACACTGGCAAAATTTACACACCTGCGAATATAGAGAGACTTTTACACACCTAGAAAAAAACACACCAGTTTGATTCGCATTTGCACACTTAGAACTTTTACACATCTACGGGCCCACTTTATTTTTTACAGTGCAGAGAATGAAAAAGTGAGAATAGCGCTCTGTGTGTTCCGGGGTTGATGTTGCATAAACATTCTTTGTACAATTCCTTCCCAAAACAAAGATTCAAAATGAAATATAATGATAAAAAGAAATAACAATAAGTTGCTAACAGGTCAAAGAGGCAATTGGATATACTAGAATTGAAGGTTACTCAGACCGAACTTGCAAAACGCTTTGTCGCATCTATATACCGCAACAATGAATAATAAATGCCATCGCATTCATCATGCGATAATTGCAGATCGCACAACATCAGCATGGGCATAGAAATAGTTGAGGCCATAGACAATAGCTTCAATACCTCATCAAACAATAAGGAACGTTCAATATTATACAGAAAACAATGGAAGAAAAAATGTTCACTAGTTTCAACAGCCCCACATGAACAGAAAGGATCGGATTATTTATACAAAACGACCATTTTTTTTTCGTATACGAAAAAAAAATGATAAAATTATTCTTCTCTTCGGTCTTTTTTCTTGTTCTGTCTGTAGACGTTATATGTGCAATTCCAATGTATTACAGGTGCACTGCACAGACCGATTTTAGTGTGCAGAAACAGTCTAACGTGATGTGCGCATTCAGTGTGTCCCGAGTACACTTTATTTTTTACAGTGCAGAAGGGGTTCGATAGGAAACAGTATTTATCCTGGTACTATCAGGATATAGAACAGAAAAAGACTTTCATCCAAGCGTCTACTCCTTCAGAAAAGGATCTATTCTTAAAAAATCCTGTTGGTTATTTATAATGTATCTATTATTTTTCGTCCATTTCTTTCCCGTATATGCAAATGTTCGTTATTGTCTAAAAGAATAGATTGAATGCACTCTCGTCGAGACAACACGGCACACTAAGTGTTCTCACTTCGACATATTGCAGCGCTTCAATACTGATGGAGATCAGAAAAGTTGATTCCTTATCCGTGTGCTGGAAGACTTCAAAGACAAAATTATCCTATTTAGACTCGGTGCTGGACCCGCTAGAGACCCCATACCAGACTTTTAGGCAACGGAGCAGTTTTTAGTTGAAATATGGCGAGATCCTTGTTCTGTTATGAAATGTAGCTGTCGACGATGCATACCTGTATCATTAGTAATGTTTATTAAGTGGAGAATATGTGCTGTGGGAAGGAATTCTGAGCACGTTTTTATACGTGCTTCGATTAGTCAAACAAGGTAGCACCCGTGTGCTAGTTAGTTAGATAGTTTTAGGAACTTATATCTGCGAACAACCTTCCATGACTTTGAATCCAGGACAACGCTCACATCTCCCTTCGGTTGGAGTTTGCTACCGGAGTACGTAAAATATATTATGAATTTTTGTCTGATTTGATGTGTAAGCCCATAATCTAATATAAATCTAAAACTTTTTCTCGAGCCCCTCCAAAGATTCTCAGTGATCTAAAAATATTTCTAAATTCTGGACAATGCGAACGCCGGTCGAAGGGAGGCTTGAGCAGCCAGGATAGGTGAGAAATATTGTGAACTTTTCTGATTCCACGGAAGGTGGCATTAGCATAGATTTATTTACAAATTAGCCTGAATTTTCAAATATACAGTATCTAAAAAAGATATAACAACATGTCTGGCAACTCAGTACATGCCCAAAAAGTACCTCTAGCTATTCGTCTATTTGAGGCGACATGCTTCTATGTCGATGATAGCGCCATGGAGTGTAGTTGATTTTTCAGCTTTGATATCCTTTCTAGGGCTAGTTCATTAATTTAAATTACTGATGGGGACATGACACCTATTGGAGCTTTTTATGACCGATTAGTCAGTTCGGTACATTTCTTTCTTTGATGACACTGAAACTGCTTCAACCAAGAAAGATTACCTGAAAATGTCGCCTTGTTATCATTGTCTTCAACCAAGAAGATTGTCACACCGTGAACGAGTGACATTCGTGCAAACCGTATCACAAGCAGTAATGAGTTCCATAGTCGCTGTGGGATCGAGATGTGCTCTGATTTTATGGAAGAATATTTAATTTGCGATCACTACACAATACTTTTTCTTA